AAAGATGACCGGTAAGGGGATCTTAACCCTTGACTTGGTGTTGTCAGCACCACGCTCACCCAGTGAGCAACTGGCCATCCCTATATGGGATCCGAACCCATGGCCTTGGTGTTATTAGCACCGCACTCTCCCGAGTGAACCACGGGCCAGCCCCTAACTGGAAGTTTAGTGTGTTCAAGTGTATTTGTTCAGGCTTCAAATCCAAGAAGTCCGATCAAGAGTCCGTGCTCTGGGGCGGGCCCGTGGCTCACTCGGGAGAGTGTGGTGCTGATAACACCAAGGACACGGGTTCGGATCCCATATAGGGGTGGCCGTTTTGCTCACTGGGTGAGCGTGGTGCTGACAACACCAAGTCAAGGGTTAAGATCCCCTTACCGGTCATCTTTAAAAAAAAAAAAGAGTCCATGCTCTGAACCACTTCCCTTTACTGCCTCTCAAGTACTATGCAAATGTAAGATGGTATTATCACTATTGCTGTTAGTTGTAACTAAAGCTTTTGTTTATACAGATAGTAATTAGACTTCTCAGCTCCTACCCCTAGAGTAAATATAAATGTTTTAAGGGGCTGAGAAATGGAAAGAAAACCCCAAACCTAGCTAACGATTGGGATTCTACTTATGGCCAAGAGTTCCATCCATCTCCATGCATCATATGTGACTAACTTTCATTAATGGAGGAATTAGGGGATTTGTTTTAAGTTAATCATAATTGAGGCTATAATACTTCACTGTTGGTTTGGTTCTTTAGTTCTTTCTCCACCCCACCTTCCCATCATGTCCTTGTGGCTAAGATACATGGCAAAGTTAGTTAAAATAATATTTTTTAATTTTGTAACAATTAGAGGGGTTCTAGGACCATGTGGGATCTGTATTGGGAATCTCTGTTTGGTTCTAGGTTTTCTCTGCTTGCTTTGGGAAGAAAAGTAGGGTATAGTACTGAAGTTGCTTTGCCTTTAAAAATAAACTTAGGAGTAAAATTTATGGAATATTTGAGTATTCTATATGGTTTTGACAGTTTCAGTTAATGGGAATTGAGTTACAGGGAATTAAAAGATTCTGGAGAGATCTGACTGGTTATTCCTTCATTCTACAGTTGGCTGAAATAACTGGTGGCCATGCAGGAGAAATACCCAAGTGAGAGAATCTCTCACAACACTTCACCAGGTGAGTAGTCAAAGTTTTCTAGGTTAAATTCTGATCTTTGATCTGTTATTTTTACATTCTTTAAGGGAAATACTGAGCAAACAAGCATTCACTGAAATTCTGGTACTGAAAAAAACAAAAATAACATGGGGCTACATTGAATAAAAACAGGTGTCTCTGAGGGAACAATTATTTATCTCTGGTCCCACAAGGCTTTCAACAAGGCACGTGATTTTGAGGGAGGACACATAAAGGATTGGAACAGAATGACTTGGAACATAGTTCCATTTGAAATGAGAAAAACACAACATAAATTACTACGTCCTGTGTTGTCTTTGCAGTCCTCTGTGTGGGTCAGTCATCTGCTACCCCAAAAAGATCAGAATTATTCTTCACTGCCAACAGTCTCTGTTGAGTTGTCACTAGAGACTCAGGAATATATCTTTAGAATGGATTAGCAAGATTTTGAAAGCTCGGTAGATATACTAAGTAGATATATTAAGTATATATATTAAACATATGTAAATATATACTTGTATATACACTGAGTGGGCATATTAATTAGATATGGTATATTTCAAATAGGAAGTAGCATTTTAGAAAAATGACTTTTTGAATTCTGGGGTATTTATAAAGAAAAGGTCACATTTTATTAAACTAAGGGTATGTTTTGTTTTATTTAACTTTAAAATCCCATGGTGCCTTACTCATGGGAGACATTTGGTAGATATTTGGTGTATTCTTCTAGACATGCTGCCTTGCATACAGTAGGCATTATTATAAGCATTGGTTGAATCAGTTTGATTCATTCAGCAAATATTTGTTGAACATCTGCTGCGTGCCATTCACTGTCTTAGGATTGTACAGTTTCTTATAATTATGTATGTAATGCAAATTTTTTGGATGTAGTAATTCCTAACAAAGCTCACTGCCTTTTTGATGGCTTTTTCTTTCTTTTTTTTTTTTAAAGATGACTGGTAAGGGGACCTTAACCCTTGGCTTGGTGTTGTCAGCACAACACTCAGCCAGTGAGCCAACCAGCCATCACTATATAGGATCTGAACCCGTGGCCTTGGTGTTATCAGCACTGCACTCTCCCAAGTGAGCCACGGGCTGGCCCCGGCTTTTTCTCTTTTTAATAGTATCTCATTCAGATTAATGATGGTCTTAATATTTGATAAAGATGCTGCTGGTAGGACATGTGATATCTCACCAAAAAATTCAGGTTTCAAACTTGGATTTTAAAATAAGAATAAGATTCTACAAATATACCAAAACATTTTCTTTCTTTTTTTTTTTTTTCAAAGATGACTGGTAAGTGGATCTTAACCCTTGACTTGGTGTTGTCAGCACCACGCTCTCCCAAGTGAGCTAACCGGCCATCCCTGTATAGGGATCCAAACCCGTGGCCGTGGTGTTATCAGCACCACACTCTCCCAAATGAGCCACAGTCCGGCCCTCATGACTTCCCTTTTTTATTTAAAGATGACCGGTAAGGGGATCTTAACCCCTGACTTGGTGTTGTCAGCACCACGCTCTCCCAAGTGAGCTAACCGGCCATCCCTATATAGGGATCCGAACCTGTGGCCTTGGTGTTATCAGCACCGCACTCTCCCAAATGAGCCATGGGCAGCCCATACCAAAAGATATTTTTACTGTAACAAATGTCTTTTTAGATTAGGGATATGAAGCCAGTAGATGGAAAAATACTGGTGATGAAGTATGCAGATTAATAGTAGTAACAGGGAGTGGTCTTCAGTAGGAGGCCAGGAACGTGGTAATAGAGGCCCTCAATCTTAACTCTTTCAAAAGGCCTGGCAAATTGTACACTGACTAGAGAGATAAAGCCATATAGACTCACCAAGAGGTCAAATTTCCTTGCTTCTGGCTACAGTTACACCAACTTAGTATAGTAATGTTGGCTAATTTCATGCTGCTCAGAAGCTCTGGTTGTTGTCTATATCTTCTATTAAAAACTATTACAGATTACTGAGTGTATATAGATTGGGGAAATTCTTTCACATCAGGCAGTCCACTGTGACCCAAAGACTAGGAGGAGTCGTTGGGGAAAATTAGGGTTGCCTTCAATAGCAAGCAGAAGAAAAGGTAGCAAAAAAGGAGCAAAAGTAGAAGAAAGTAGGTTAAAAAGATGGGAGAAGGGCCGAGCCCGCGGCGCACTAGGGAGAGTGTGGCACTGGGAGCGCAGCGATGCTCCCGCTGCGGGTTTGGATCCTATATAGGAATGGCCGGTGCGCTCACTGGCTGAGTGTGGTTACCGGTCACGAAAAAGACAAAAAAAAAAAAAAAAAAAGATGGGAGAAGCACTAAATTTGGAAGAAAGGAATAAGGTAATTTGTGTTTAAATATTATTTACCTCCCATTGGATCAAAGAGACTGTAGAACCATACTTAATGATGTCAACTCTAACACGCTTAAGTTAAATGGGGGATAAGTAGCTGCCATTACTTTTTTTCTTCTTGTTTACATGGATTATCAGACACACCTTAGACAAATTATAGTGGTTTTTAAGAAATAATTTAAATTTAAATCTTTGCTAGTATGTTAGTAAGTCATATATTTATAAAACACTTCCTACCTACCATCCCCCAAATAGCAAGCTTTAAAAAGTCAGATAAATTTCATCAGTCTTTTTTGTTTTTGTCTTACCTGCTTAGAAAATTTAGTGGTTTCTTTGTGTTGCCCTCAAGATAAAGTCTTAAGCTTTTCAGATTGACTTTCAAAACTCCCCTTGATCTATATTCACCTGTTGAGGGTACTTTGGTTCAGCGAAGTAGTGATTTTCAACAGAGGACTGGGCTGCCTGTTGCATTAGGGAACAGTTAAAAATACTCTATGGGGTATTTTCTGGTTTCACAGTGATGGTAGGATTGGATGAGGGTTGCTACTGGCATTTAGTGGGTTGGGACCAGGGATGCTAAACCATTCTGTGATATATAGACTACACGTTGAAGAATGTCATGCCCAGAATACCAAGAGCACCATTGAAAAACTCTAAGAAGAAAGAATGTGGGTGTTGGAATCAGAAAGACCTGGATTCAAATCTCAGCCCTCCCCTCTGTAAAATAGGGATGATAATTTTTGGTAAGTACATAGGCAAGATTATGTTTGTAAAGTGCTGTGGACTCAAGGTTTCAATAAATGGTAGCTGCTGTTTAATATGATTGCTTTCTGTCCCGGTACACCTGGATTCTTGGTAGGTTTTATTTCTGTCTTGAATGTTCTTACCTCTCATGATATTTCCACTTAAAATCAACTAGTTCAGAGTAGCAGAAATAGGCACTGGGGAGAGAAAGGGGTGGAGTGCTGCTATTCTTTCATAGGCTTAAGTGATTTTTTAAAAATAGTCTGATGGGTTTACATCAGCTGGTTCATAGTAAAGGTGGGAAATGCTACTTGTTTCAGGTTCCAGTGTGATTCAGAAGGGCAGTTCTCTGGGGACTGAATGGCAGACACCAGTTATCTCAGAGGCCTATCGAAGCCGCTTCAGCCGCTGTTCAAGTGTAGCTGACAGTGGGGACACAGCCATTGGGACATCGTGCTCAGACATTGCAGAGGGTAAGTTTCGATTAATGATTTGATTACCAATATTTGTTCTCATTTTCAGATTGTATTCTAGGTGTGTTGTCATTTCCAGTATATTTATAAGGTCAGTCTGTTCCGTCAGAGAGTCCGCTTAATTCTTCTTACCCTGTGCTTCTCACATCTGGTCCCTTCATCTCAATTTCTACTGTTTATCCTATCTGAAACAACCTACTAGGTTTCTTGGCCTCCCATCTTTCCCTCTGCTGCCAGATTAATCTTGCTAAAGGCCTGATTTCATAGTTTCCCTTTCCTGCAAATCCTCAATCTTTCTCATTACTTGGAAGATAAAGTTCAGAGGCCTTAGCTCTTTTGTGATCTGGTCTTACCCCACCCATTCAACCATTCAAGCTTTTTTTTTTTTTTTTTTTTTTTCCAGCTGGCCGGTATAGGGATTGAACCCTGGATCTTAGTGTTATTAGCACCATGCTCTAACCAACTGAGCTAACCAGCTAGCCTCAATCATATTTCTTGCTGTCATCAGGTCTGTTATTTTACTATGCTATGAAAGTACAGGCCTGTTTTGCTGTTTTTTGATGCCTGGGTGCTTTTATTTTTCTTCTTTAATCTGGGCCCATTTGTGCTATTTCCACCTCCTTTCACCCTTCCTAGCTAGGCTGATCTTACTTACTATTCAAGATCTAGCAAAGTGTCCCACAAGGCTTTTCCCATCCCTTTCACCCATTACTGTTCTCTTTCCTCTTAGCAATCTTGTACATTTATTATCTCTGCCACTTGTTTTTGCACTTAAATTAACAACTGCCAGGAAGTACTTTACAAGCGTATTTTGTTTTTCCCTTTAGAAAGTGAGTTCCTGGGCCGGCCCGGTGGCGCACTGCAGAGTGCGCCGCTTGGGAGCACGGCGGCGCTCCCTCCGAGGGTTCAGATCCCATGTGGAGACCGGTTCCCACTCACTGGCTGAGTGCGGTGCGGGCGCAACACTGAGGGTTGCGATCCCGTTACCGGTCAGTAAAAAAGACAAAAAGGAAAAAAAAAAAAAGTGAGTTCCTGGAGGGTAGAAGACCTAATGAAAATAATTAAAATTTACTGTATGGTTTGTGATAGGTAAAATGCTAATTTTTTCTATATTATTTCGTTAGTGTCCTTAAGGACCCTATGAAATATTTTATTATTTCCATTTTACAGATGAGAAAGCTGAATTTCAAAGTGATTGGATGAGTTGATTAAAGTCACAGGAGTAGTCACTTTGGTACTTTATCAGATACTGTCATTTAAAAACAGATCTACTCCATAGCCACTAGGATGGCTGTAATCACAACAATAACAACAAGTGTTGTGGAGAATGTAGAGAAATTGGAACCTTCATACATTGCTTGGTGGGATTGTAAAAATATTGCAGCTGCTTTGGAAAACAGTTTGGCAGTTCCTCAAAAGGTTAAACAGAGTTACCTTATGACCCAGTAATTCTCCTAGGCATATACGCAAGAGAAATGAAAACGTACATCCACACAGAAACTTACACACAAATGTCCATAGCAGCATTTTTTTTTCTAAAAAGATGACCAGTAAGGGGATCTTAACTCTTGACTTGGTGTTGTTAGCACCACGCTCACCCAGTGAGCAACCGGCCATCCCTATATGGGATCCGAACCCGTGGCCTTGGTGTTATCAGCACCACACTCTCCCAAGTGAGCCACAGTCTGGCCCAAAAATACCTTTCTTTTTTTTTTTTTT